TTAAAAACCTGTAATGGTTTCCTTTGTTGTTAAAGCTTTTAAGTTTCATTAGGCCCCATTTGTTTATTTTTGCTTTTATTTCCAATACTGTGGGAGATGGGTCATAGAGGATCCTGCTGTGATTTATGTCAGAGAGTGTTTTGCCTATGTCCTCCTCTGGGAGTTTTATAGTTTCCGGTCTTACAATTAGATCTTTAATCCATTTTGAGTTTATTTTTGTGCATGGTGTTAGAAAGTGTTCTAATTTTATTCTTTTACAAGTGGTTGACCAGTTTTCCCAGCACCACTTGTTAAAGGGGTTGTCTTTTTTCTATTGTATATCCTTGCCTCCTTTGTCGAAGACAAGGTGTCCATAGGTTCATGGATTTATCTCTGGGCTTTCTAGTCTGCAAGGTGAAAAGACAGCCCTCAGATTGGGAGAAAGTAATAGCAAACAAAGCAACAGACAAAGGATTAATCTCAAAAATAGACAAGCAACACCTATAGCTCAATTCCAGAAAAATAAATGACCCAATCAAAAAATGGGCCAAAGAACTAAACAGACATTTCTCCAAAGAAGACATACAGATGGCTAATAAACACATGAAAAGATGCTCAACATCACTCATTATCAGAGAAATGCAAATCCAAACCACAATGAGGTACCATTACACACCAGTCAGGATGGCTGCTATCCAAAAGTCTACAAGCAATAAATGCTGGAGAGGGTGTGGAGAAAAGGGAACCCTCTTACACTGTTGGTGGGAATGCAAACTAGTACAGCCACTATGGAGAACAGTGTGGAGATTTCTTAAAAAACTGGAAATAGAACTGCCATATGACCCAGCAATCCCACTTCTGGGCATACACACCGAGGAAACCAGATCTGAAAGAGACACTTGCACCCCAGTGTTCATCGCATCACTGTTTACAATAGCCAGGACATGGAAGCAACCTAGATGCCCATCAGCAGATGAATGGATAAGGAAGCTGTGGTACATATACACCATGGAATATTACTCAGCCGTTAAAAAGAATTCATTTGAATCAGTTCTAATGAGATGGATGAAACTGGAGCCCATTATACAGAGTGAAGTAAGCCAGAAAGATAAAGACCATTACTGTATACTAACACATATATATGGAATTTAGAAAGATGGTAATGATAACCCTATATGCAAAACAGAAAAAGAGACACAGATGTACAGAACAGACTTTGGGACTCTGTGGGAGAAGGTGAGGGTGGGATGTTTCGAGAGAACAGCATCGAAACATGTATATTATCTAGGGTGAAACAGATCACCAGCCCAGGTTGAATGCATGAGACAAGTGCTCGGGCCTGGTGCGCTGGGAAGACCCAGAGGGATCGGGATGGGGAATACATGTAAATCCATGGCTAATTCATGTCAATGTATGACAAAAACCACTACAATATTATAAAGTAATTAGCCTCCAACTAATAAAAATAAATGAAAAAAAAAACCTGTAATGGGAAAGAATCGGAAAAAGAGTATATGTGTGTATATATATATATACACACACACATATGTATGTATGTACATGTATATATATATATGTATATATATTTGTCTGAATCACTTTGCTGTATACCTGAAACTAATGCAACATTGTAATCAACTATGTACTCCAATTTAAAAAATTTAAAAGAATGAACTCTAGTACAAGAAAATATGTTTATTTCTGATGCAGCAGACCTCTTCAGATCATCAGATGAGCTGTTTCTCACTTGAGAAATGCCAGCCAAGCCAAGTCCTCTACTTCAGGGAACACAAATACCACACTCAGAGCACCAGGCGAGGAGACCCTGACCTCCCCACCCCATCCCCCTGCCAATGCTGTGGCAGCATTCTCTGTGCTTTTATATGTCTCCTCAAAGAGGTCTTGTCTGACTGCAAGGGCTGACCAAGGAGCCTTACATCCTGGTTAACTGAGATTGGCCTATCAGATAGATAGGGAATAGCCATAGGGAATTCTAGAGTTTGGTATGTGTGCAGAATTCCTTCACTTTTTCACATCCCTTTTAGTATCAGTGTATCATAATGATAGCAGAAACACAGTCAAAACACTTAAATATTTGGAGTTTAATGGCTTTTAGCTCATAATTGACCGTCTTACCTAAAAGCCTTCTCAGTAATGGAACTTCTATGGCAATATCAAGCATTCCACTCTGCTTTTAAGAATTCCATCTGTCAAATCCTCTGAATGCCCAACATAATTCCGGGGGTGGGAGGGAGGTGGCACTCTAGACTAAAATAACTTCTCAGCCTAGGGGCTAGAAAGCCATCAGCAACTCTCCTGGAAACATTACAGTCTTAACCATAGACAATGGAGGCCGTATAACTGGCATTCTAGCAGAAATAAAGGAGACATTGGCATCTGATATCAGATCTGCCTGTCTTATGACCAGCTTTGCTAAAGACTGCAGTGTTGCAGCAAGGCCAGCCAGAGTCAGACAGCTGCTTCTTGACAGTTGTTTTCAGCACGGCTGATGGTGTTAGATTCCACTCCCATCAGAGCTAGGAGAAGGGAAGCCCTGACTATTTATATACAGGAATCCAGAGATCTTATGCCTGATGCAGGTTATTGGAGTCTTAGTTTTGCATTTACTCTTTCACTGATTATCAGGAGACCCAGGCTTGAGCTTGGTTCTGTAGCGAACTGGCAGGGTGATCTTGGCCATGTCATTTAATCTCTCTAGGCCTGTGTTTCCTCTTTTTTTTGAGAAAAGAGGTAATCTCTAAAATTCTGTGACTTTCCCATGACTTAACTAAAAATACAATAGATATCACAAGTTTTCTCACCTCTAAAATGGGATTAATCAAACCGGCAGGGTTGTGTACAGATTCAAAGTATTCCATGTGTATGAAAGGAAAAAAATAGTAACTTTGGAGAAACCTGGTAGATACCACCTTTGCCAAGTAATCAAGGTTGATATCACCAGTAATAAAACACATCAATATTAAGTACCCCCAGGTCTGATTTGATGAGAAGGGCATATAACCTCTGTGATATTTTTCCCCCGAAACCATAACCTCAGTCTAATCACGTAAAAACCAGACAAACTCAAGTTAGGGACATTCTGCAACATACCAGACAAGTACACTTCAAAAGTGCCAAGTTCAGGAGAGACAAAGACTCTGGAACTGTCAGGGATTGGAGGACACCAAGGAGATATGACAATTAAATGCAATGCAGATCAGCTTCTGTAAAAGAAGAGGGAAAAAAAAAAACTACATAGTGGGAACACTGAAAAAAATATAAACATATTTGTAGTTTAATTAATAGTACCTTACCAACATTCGTTTCTGAGTTTTGATCATTGTGCTGTGGTTATATAAAGTGTAAACATTACGGGAGGCGATTGAAGGGTATTTGGGAACTCTGTGCTGTCTTTGCAATCGTTTTATATATCTAAAATTAATTTAAAAGTTTTAAAAACTGTGTAAAGTAGCTAGCTCACAGTAGGCATGTAATGAGTGGTGGGTGTTCTAATTATAAACAGATTCATTAATTCCAACAGTGTTGAGTTAAAGAAATGTTGGTGGGAGACAGTGATACACAATCATTAACTGCCTTGTTGGTGTAACAGGAGTCATTCCAGCCACAGATACTGCATAACTTAGGCCGAAATGTGTTATAAAAGCTAGTTCTTCATTCTTATTTTTCTTCATTCTTGAAGAGGCTTCCAGGAATTGAAATGTGCAGCTGTTTACATGCTCATTATCTGCCTTTGTTTGTGGGCTCAGATTGGATTTCTCAGAGAGCATGAGTTTCTACAGCTGTGTAGATGAATAAACCTTGAGTCTGGACCTGCTAATCTGATAGGGGTTTTATCCACAACCATTGGTAAAGCAAACTGAATACCACCTTGCACTCTGTACGTTTGATATTCCCATCCTGCCATGACAAGAGGCTGATCTCCATCACACACCTGTCTTCATTACCCACAGATGGAGCTGGCTCAGACAGTTGAGGAAAGAAAGATCAGCTGTGTGTGGCCTGGAGACAGCCTCCTCCCCCAGGGGCAAATCAGCCAAGATACTTTAATTGTATTGGCAAAGCAGTAAGAAGCAGAAGAAATTTCTTCTCACACAGAGAAGTTTCATTCAACAGATATGCAACATATGTTTACTAAGAGCCTTCTACAGGCTTAACCCTGAGGGTGAAGTCAGTCTTTTTGGAGGCTCTTTTAGTGCAGGCAGATAGGCACACCACACCTCTGATTGGAGACTGTGACCACACAGTCCTGGGCAGACACGCTTGCAGACACATGGAAGATGTTCAGTAGATGCTCATAAAGTGAAAGCCGATTTGTACCGATGTCATTCAACCTGGTTTAACCCCAAAATAGTATTAACTTCAGTTCATCTCTAACAATTGTCAACTACAAACTGGCACTTGCCATGGACACTTGCCATCTATTCCTGCAAGGATTAAACCATGTGCTATTGCAGCTGCTGACGTTCAATGCACCATGAAAGGAGTTCAGGGTGGAGAGCAGAAATAAAGCACTGTGCTCCAGTGGGGGAGGAGGGAAACTAGCAGAACAGGTCTTCAGTTAGCTAGATATTTTCAGGAGCCAAGTTTATGCCCAATTCTCGTATCTCTTCATATCTAGAAAAGCACTGAAATCCTTCATGGTGATGACTGTTTCTCATTACTAGCAAAAGCTTTATGAGACTAGCATAAATCTTCTAGAAAAATATGTGCTTGATTACTTTTATTCCCCCTTCCAAAATCACATATATACTGACCCTCCCTGTCTCTTTGGAGCAGTGTTTCAGAGCTGTCTGAGGTGCTGTCTCCCCAGCTGCAGTCCTCATTTTGCCCAAATAAAAACTTAACTTGCAACTCTCACCTTGTGCATTTTTTTAAGTTGACACAATAACAACATTTATTATGTGCTTAAGACAATCCTGGCACAATTTTAAATGTTTTACACAATTTAATTTTTACAACAACTTGATAACAGAATGACTACCATTATACCCATTTTATAGGCAAGAAGACTGAGACATCAGATGAAAGGAAGAAGTAACCTACTTAATCATGGAGAAGGGAATGACAACCAACCCCAGTATTCTTCCCTGGAAAATCGCATGGACAGAGGAGCCTGGCAGGCTACAGCCCATAGGGTCACAGAGTCGGACATGACTGAGCGACTAACACACACAATCCACCTACAGCTGCACCGGCACAGCAAGGCAGCAGAAAGCCTAGACTTTGAACCTCAACATCAGCTTCAGATGCTCCCTCCTCTATTCTACTCTTCAAGAGTAGCAGTAAAGACCCTTGTGCTTTTCCTTGGAGGGCTGGGAGAATAAGCTTATGGTTCCTACAAGCTGCAACTCCAGACCTAGGGCTCCTCAAAACTGCAACCCTGGGGATCATGACCCTGGTAATTCTCCCCATTCCAGCTGTCACTTCCCCACTTCTCTCATAGCCTCTAGCCTTGGGCTGATGAGGTGGTCACATGGGGATAGGCGGGACTGCAGTCTAGGACTAGATTCCACTCAGCCACACTTGGAATGTGGCCATCTTCTTATGGCCTGGGTAGCAGCTACCATAAGCAGAAGACAAGGTGGAGGCCAGGCAGGCAATTCCCTTCCCCAGAGCCACTTGTGCCCGAAGCCACCCCTTTAGGTATCACATGCCAGGACTTGACAGCCAACCTGGCTCAGTATCCAATTCCAACTTCTGACTCAGATGCCTAATGTGGTACGCCTGAATATGCTGTGCTCAGGTGCACTTTTTGTAGAGGATCTGGTCCCAGTGTTGATTTGGGGAGGTGGGGAAAGACAAGCGATGCCTAGGTCAAGAAGAGACAGGGATTTTCTCAGCTGAGGACTCTGCTGAGTGGCATTTTCCACCCAGACGGTTTCACTGAATGCTGACATCAGACCATTCTAGAAGAGATACCAAATCAAGTAGAATAATGTTCTGATATCCTAGGATTTTTAAAAGTAAAAACCATGTTCTCAAAAATGCCTAGAATATTCTCCTAGAATTCGGTATCTCACATCCACACTTGCTAGCTCTTCTCAATATTGTTCTCCATTAATCTAGTGGCCAATAGTTTGGTAGTCTGCTGATTCAATACTGCATCTGCCATTCTTGGCTAATTTTCAGTTTCAACTTAATCAAATATTCCCCTTTCATTTCCTGATAACGTCAGCACTTCATGGCAACACAGGGACATCTCTGACCGGGTCCTTCTCTCTCTACCACGCAGTCTAGCTGCTCCAATACCCTCTCCCTTGCTCTCATACTCATGATCTTTCTTCATGTCTATTTTTGGTCTTCCTGGCTCAAGCTTCTTTGGGCCACTGAAACACAACCCTCACTCTCTTTCTCTCCCCTCTGGTATGTATGCCGCTGGTAGGAGCCCCCCAGGTAAAAACTGCTGCAGAAATCCTTTAGTGCTCCTTCCTCAGGAAAACTGATGGCTTCTGGACCGCAGCTCAGTTTTTAAGCTGGACGACCTTCTGATGGGTTTTAAACTTCGAATTGGATGTGGACATTTTTCTTTCCAATGACAGAATCACTGGAACTTCCCCTTTGCAGCTGCTTCCTTTCCTTAAAGGTAGCTGAATCTTGCTGTCTTTAAAAACCTTTTCTTTCCAAATTTGCCAGCCATGCCGACCGTCATTAGCGCCTCTGTGGCCCCACGGACAGGGGCTGAGCCCAGGTCCCCAGGGCCCATTGCCCAGGCAGCCCAGGGCAAGGGAACGGAGGCAGGGGGTGGAAACCCAAGTGGCATCTACTCAGCCATCATCAGCCGCAATTTTCCCATTATTGGGGTGAAAGAGAAGACATTCGAGCAGCTTCACAGGAAATGTCTGGAAAAGAAGGTTCTTTTTGTGGATCCTGAGTTCCCACCGGATGAGACCTCCCTATTTTACAGCCAGAAGTTCCCCATCCAGTTCATCTGGAAGAGACCTCCGGTGAGTAGCTGACTGCTTGCTGCTTGGGTTTTTTCCCCTCAGAGAAAACCTCCTACTCAGCACCTCCCCACAGCACAGCTCCTGGGGGCACGGGGCACTGGGTGGGGAGGATCCTGGAGCAGCTCCATGGGGCTCTGTCCTCAGGGGGAGGAGGGCTCATTCTCACTCCTTGCTCTCTTTCTGAAAAAAATCTTGTTTTTTTACGAAAGCAATTGGAACTCAATTTAACTCACCCTATAAAAAGGAAATATTCCTTTCCCAGAACAGATTCCAAACTGGAATATCCAAACAACTTCCAAAATTCTGACCTGGAGAGGAGTCCAGATCTACTCTGTTGGGTGTCCTGCATCTTATTAGGATTCTTTTCACTCTCTCACTGGAGGGTGAAAATTGTGATGCTCATTTTAGTTTGCCAGTGGCCATGTTGTTCTTAAATACGGAGTCCTGAAAAGAAGAGAGTGGCCGCGAAGACTACTTTTTCAAGCACAAAATGTTAGGATTAGAAGGAGAAGCCCTAGCCATCATTTGTCCTCACCTCCTGAATGAGGAAATAAAGACACACCACAGCAAAGCCTATTCGACATGCATGACAGCCTGGATGAAAACCCTTTCTCTCTTAATGGTCTTCCAGCCTCTGGCTTCCATGTACAGTGATCTACCAGAAGGCAAGTCACATTTCCCAAGCTTCCTTCTCTGATCACACCTCTGGCATGACCCTTTCTTTAATTCAATAAATATTTTTGAACATCTTGTAGAGCCAGAAATCAGGCAAGCAACTGAGGAGTCAGCATAAATAAGAAAAACAAAAATTCCTGCTCTCCTGCAGCCAAGAGTCCTGAGGGCAAGACATGCTTTGAACAAGACAGATAAGTTTCAGGAGACAACGTTCAGGGTGCTATGGGATCAGAAGGCAAGGAGAGTTAACCTAGGTCAGAGAGAGAGAGAGCCCCTCCTGAGGAACCCATGTTATCTGAATGCTGTTTATTAGCTTCATCAGATTAAACTAGATAAGCTTCACTGTGGTGTGTCTTTATTTCCTCATTCAGAAGGTGAGGACAAATGATGGCTAGGGCTTCTCCTTCTAATCCTAACATTTTGTGCTAGAAAAAGTAATCTTCGCTGCCACTCTCCTCTTTCCAGGGCTCCGTATTTCAGAACCACAGGGCCACTGGCAAACCTAAAAAGAAGCACTGGGGCCTGGTGCTATTCATGAGCCATGTGTTTCTTTTTAACCTGAGATGAAATAGCCAGCAACCCTGTCTTCACGCTGTATGTTCCACAAGGGCCCCACTCCCCACCTGCTGGTTCTGTGGTCAGGTCCATGACTGTCCTGGGGGCCCTCGGTTTAGAAGAGAGGATTGGAAAGAACTTCATTCCCCAATCCAGTCACTGCCCTGCTGCCAGGGCACTGGAACACATCACATCCCTGCTGAAACATCTTCAAGAACACCGCTCTCCCTACGCCCCGCCCGCAGGCCTTGAGATCAAACTCCCTACGTGGGGGAATGCCTCTCCCCCAGCCAGCCCCGCCTCCCTGTCCATCTCTCCTCCACCCTCTCCCTGGACCCTGACACATGCAGCTGCTCTCTTGTCCCAAGTCGTCTCCTACCTCTCAGCCTTTTCTCCTGCTGTCTGTCATGCCCTTCTTGTTTTTATCTGCTTTGTTCTTCCCTACCCTTGCTGTAAAACCCTGCTCAGGTATCACTTCCTTCCAGCTTTCTCACGCCCATTCCCATCAGCTGAGAGGGGGAGCATTCTCATTCCTCTTCAGAGCCCCTCACCCAGCCCACAGTAGGCACTCAGTTGCTGGTGGTGAATGAAAACCCACATCACAGACCGTTGACCTCTGAGAGAGGACAGTCCTGTGTTCCAACCTAACAGTTCCTAAAAGCCTTTTCTAACAGTACTGCAGAGACAAAAACCCAAAAAACTTACAAATACTGCTCTTAGTGAAATTGTTGGTGGATTTTAGCCTTAAAACTTAGACCTACACATTCATTAAAATGCTTTAAATGGGTCTGTTATGCTCTAGGCCCTAGATGGGTCCCGAAACAAACTGTCATTGTTAGTGTGAAAGGAAGGCCGTGAGAAGCTTTGTCCTAAATTGTGCTCCCACCACCACCACCCCTAGTCCGGAAATTTGTACTGTCTCTAAAGGTCCAGATAGCAAAGCCCACTCTCTGTTAAAATGTCCCTATTTCCTCTGAGGTTAAGTTTGGGGGAACACTGCCTCTTGGGCTCATTGGTATAAGCTAGAATACAGAATTAGAGATGGTCAGCCTTGGAATATCTTGGAGATGTGGTCCAGCCCCTTCACCTACAGGTGCAGTGATAAAGGTCCAGAAAGGGCATGTGACTTATCTACAGTCACACAGCAATGAGATTGAGACTGAACTGCTGCGTTGACTAGAATTTTCTGAAATGTAAAGCACTTCTTGGAGACATAAGTTTTCCGTGCATCTCATAGATGTAGTGACCTTTGTCAGGCTCAGACAGTCTGAAAAGGGGACTGTATCCTATGAGAGGACCTTCCTGCTTTTACTATCAAAAGTGCAGAGTCAGTCAACACCAATTTGAATTTTTATTCACAATCAAGTATTGCTTATTACAATCAGGTGGTGATGATGATGATCAAGGGAGAATTCCTCAGGACGAACTATGATTCTAGTTAAGATAAACGGCTGCGCGTCAACCTTTTCCTCTTAAAAGAAGACAGACACAGGCCACCGCACCCTCCTGCAATCTCTCCTCACCCTCGCACTGGGCACAGCCTCACTGCCTTTCCCCCTCTAATAGAGAGCATCACACACTGAGTGTCCAAACCAATCAATCTGATTTCTCCAGGCTTTACTTAACAGCATCTATTTCTAGGATAAGAAAGCAATCAAACCTTACACCACTTCCCCATTGTTAAGCCAAATTTTCTTGATGACAAACCCCTGGACAGAGAAGAACGGCTCTAGAAAGGGCTTCTGGGAGACTGATGACTCTTGCCCAGTATCACTGGGGACAGGTGTGTGGTGAAACCCGTGTTCCATTCCATGTGGTGGGGGCTGCGGTCACACAACATTTCTGGCCTCTCTCCTCTCTCCTCCCCGGGGGTGGGGCGAGCGGGGAGGGTGGGTTCTTAAAGAGAACATGACCTGTGAAGCCCAACACTTTCTTTTTCTTCCTGGGAATAAGCTACCTGCTGTTCCTTGTGGCAAGTTTCCCAAAGGCAGATCCCTGAGGGGAGTCCTCAGACTCCGAGACTCATACATACTGGTGAAGAGTATGATCACAATTAACCCTAAGAACTCAACACAACGATATTATTCTAAGTGCTTCCATATGTTAACTCATTTCATCTTCACAACAATCCTGAGAGATGAGTACTATTATTGTCCCCGGGCATTCTGGCTATAGAAACTGAACTCTTAGCAACAAAATCTATCTAATTGTGGACTTTAGAAGGCAAGATCAGACTTATGAACAATATATGTAGCATTTTCGACTCCCACCTGCCTTACACATTTGTCTCATTTATCCATTGGTTCAAAACTCAGGCACAGAAGTGGGGTGTCATTTACTGGGTTCTCATAAGTCACAAAAGGAACTGGGCATTGTCTTAGGTGTTTGGGTCCCTGGAAGCAGCAGCCCCTGTGAGCTAGAGGTAGAATGGCAGAGCGGTTAAGAGCCCAGTCCTGACTCGAGGTCAAATTCTGACCCTAATACATAACACTTGGGTAGTCTTGATCACGTACTGTTCTCTTTGCCTGTCACAGATTCCCCCATCAGAAAAATGAGGAATGATCCTAATAAAAGGACCCATCTCACAAGGTTGTTGTGAAGATTGAGTTAATCCACAACAAAGACTTACAGGTGCCTGGCACGTGGGGGAGTGCCCATGAATTTAAAATGCTCCCAATATGACTGGATGTGCAGCCTCTAAAAAGGGCAATGTCAGAAACATCTTTCCAGCTTCATTTGCGTCTAGACCAACAAGATACTAGTTACAGTAATGTATTTGAGTACTTTTTGCCTGATCTAAATGAGGCACTCTGCCTACTGTGAGGATTTATGTGTGACCCATCCCCTGTGGGCAGGCAACTGCTTGTCCTTTTGGCAATGCCAGTCTTCCCCCATCAAATACAAAATTGCATTTGTGAAATGTGAGTGCATCATGGAAGTGTGAAGGTGACCACATAATGGGGGATCACAATGCCCTGGGGAACATGGCTGCTCACTCAGCGAATGGCTCTAACAACCTCGGGACTAAGGAGGCAAGCAAGTGTTCCCATTTCCCCATCTGCTTTTGCCTCGTGCATTCCAGGTTATTTCTCCATACCCTCCTGCAATCACTGCTAAAATCAGGGACAACTTAGATCCCTTTTGCTTTTGGAGGGGAGAGGCATGAGGGGCCAGCTGCAAGACCTTGTGCATCTGGTGCCCTCCTTACCCTTGGGAATGTGGGATCCCCAAACCACTCCACAGTGACCCAGAGGCCCATGAGGGAATTCTCCCTTGGGAAGCAGCATTTCCCTTCCTGGTGCCATTGCCCTTCCTGGTGCCTCTGCCTTCTAGGCCAAGGCCCCTCCACAGGCAAGTTGACTCACATCCTCTTGTGGCGTAGGGCACGAAGGTTCTGTGTGGTGCAGACCCTCCAAGTCAGCTCAGCTCACTAAGGCCTCCAGCAACAGGGACTGGCAACATGTTACTGAGCCTCCTTTGTCTCTGGCCCTAGATAGTTTCCTTTCAGTAAATTCCATCTCATTCCAGCTCCACCCTAACCTGGATCCCAGAGAAGGAGGGGTCAACTCTATTTGGGAGCCAGGTTAAGTCAGACTTCAGGTTAAACTGCACTTGATGGATTCAGCCTCAGTGTCTCTTGGCTCTGCCAGGAGAGGTTATAGCCTCTTTGGGCCTCCCATTCACAGCTGAGCTCAAAACTGCATCATTGACATACTACTATTGCTCTTCAGTTGCTCTTCAAGTCTGACTCTGAGACCCCATGGACTGAA